AAACAATGTTTTCACATCGAGTGAAATATAATTATGGACAACCATAGTATGTAATTCAAGTTTTGCTGTACACTCATACGAATATATCGCTAAGATTCTCAGGGAGTGCCTATCCTATGCTTTTGTACTGTAGATTTATATAGGCCTACAACCTGGGATGCAGCCACCATTTTTAAAAGGGGGGTTCAAATTTGGAATTACCCATGCTACGGCTTCTGAAACAGTCGCCGCGAAAACAAACGCGATTCGAAATGCCCATCTCTACCCATCGTCTAAGCTACTCTGTAATAAAGTGGGTAAGCAATGCTGGATTGAATAGGTTCCGGTCATTCCAATAAATAGTGGAATTATGGATCCTTGTTCAGATATCATATGGGTGAATATGAAACAGATAAAAAATTGCAATCTAAAGCGCTTGTTGGCAATAAATGGTCCTGCTATTGCCTGCTATTGTTACCCACCTAATTTAGCTTTCATGCTTATGATTTTTGATATTGGGTGAATGCCAATTAACCACTCATGCGTGTCGACAGAATCGCATGCTTGAACTAATCACTGAAACTAGTTTCGTTATCAAGATGTTTTGCTGAATGTAGGTTGGAGTCTGAGGTCTAGCAAATTTAGTTCAAAAATGATGGCCAATCAATATCAAATATATTTCAATTGCGTCATGTCAATATAGAAATTTTTTGTATGATTATTAATATCGATAACAAGTGCGTATGCAAGGTAGCTATTTTGCAATTGGTGTGAAATTGTGTCAAATGTTGTCTATTTTTGAATTCATTTAAGCATTTTATGCTATCATAATGGTCATTATTGTGCTCATAATGTCATAAGACTTCAAATTTCACGAGACTGTTGTTGAGTCATAATGGGATATATTACGTGTAGTTTCTAGTCCTTTATTACTCACAATCAGTTGCTATTGTGTGATAGATTGTAAGCGCAATCATTTAAGACGGCAGTTTCCTAACTAGAGTAACTAGAAATTTTCTTATATGTAGAATAGTTTTTTGAGTTACCAGAAAAGCAATTCTATTTAGTCTGTATAAATATACCGATGAAAATATTTAAAGTTTAGATATTATGTTTTTCTGCCTTTAATATTCTACTAATCCTGATTGATATTCAGTTGAAGAAGTTGTAATTTTGCTTGCATTAAAATTTGTAGAATAAAGGATTTATAAAACTTTCTGTTCCAAAAAGTATGCCACAATTATTTCATTACTTATCGATCTTAAGGTATTTGTCTGTTAGTCACTTTCATATGTTACGCGATATCTGACGAAAGCGAGGTTGAATCTGCTCCAAATTTGCATTCATCATATCTCGGACAAGAAGCATATTGATTTTGGATGAATCATGTCGTATAATTAGCGAGTTATCAATTAGTTAGTGATGGGACACAAGTGTTGCTGTGGAGTAAGAGCGGATGAATCGTAACCGCAGTTTCTGTTTTGGGGGATCCCCTAACTTTCGATCGAAAACGCTTCGGTCTCTGACCAATATTCTCGTTCATATTTTGGTGCTTTGTCCTGTCCTGGGACGCCTCAGTATACTCTTTGTTTTTTTTAGCAAAAATGATTGTTTTATATAGTTTGTTTATTTTTTGCTAAAAAAAGCTAATAATTATTATTATGTATATTGTTTAAAAATTATTTAATAGGCCGGAACCATTCAAATCAATTTCTTTAACTTGTTTTAAACAATAAACCTCAATCCTTTAATTTATTATATTTTACGATCTTCAATCACAATGGTTCCTGCGTAATAAATCTTTATTAATAAATGAATTTTCGTCAGAATTGAATCTCAGACAATTATTGATTGATTGGTTTATTGCTATCACAGAAAATAGTTCGGAAAATAGTTCAAGATAGAAGCGAAACTATTGCTATGCAAATGATGCTTGCGAGTTTCTAGATGATTGAAATAACAGTTTTCTCTTCAGTGAAAGTTGTCATTTTTACACTAAAATTTTGATTTAGTTAATGGCACTCGAGAAGTGTGCACCAATATGAAGGTGACTAATTTTGTTCGCCTATTTTACATCAAGTTGGGTAAAGGGACTGAAACCTATACCTAGGGGGTAAATTCACTTGGATAAAACTGACATTCCCTGAACTCATAACAGAACTAAAATAGGGAAAATTTGAATAAAATTATGGCCTAACCCTAACCTGGTACACATACTACGGGAGTACCCAGTTAATTAAGAGGTGTCTGAATAATTTGATAATATATAATTTTAGTAGAGAGAGAATTTTAATAGTGATATTGTGCAGCAAGACTCTCATTTCCATTCCTGCTACAACCTTGCAATACACCCATACAATTCTACCAGTAATTAGGCATCAAAGAAGAGATGCTAGTTTCGCGTAATCCCAACTGTAAGTTACATATTCCAGACTCTATCATTTTGATGAGTACTTCCTAGTATGTAAACCAAGATGGCAGACACCGGAATGTAGTACATGTACCAGGTTAGGGTTCCGATTTTCCTTATTTTAGTTCTATTAAGAGTTTGGGGACTAGCCAAAGTTTTTAACCAAGAACACCAATAACCCTGCTAAAACGCTTAAAAACAGTGAAAAACTGTCTAAAAACAACAATACCCCTGCTAAAATGCTTAAAAACAGTGAAAAACCGTCAAAAAACACCAAAAACCAAGTGAAAAACTAGCTAGTGACTCCTGTAGTATTTGTATCTAAAATTTATGGACTAACCCTAACCTGGTACACATACTATGTTCCGGTGTCCGCCATCTTGGTTCACATTTTTCGGGAGTACCTTTCTTAGCATAATAAAAGAATAACAAATAAGCTGTATTAAGCATGGCCCAAGTGTATTTATTCTAACTTCGAGTGAATAGAGCGTAGTTGAGCCGTGTCATGCTTGGCAAAGTGTTTGGTACACCTCAGATAGAGAGAAAAGTAAAGTTTTAACCGTACCGTGCTTGTCGAGTATATAATACAGCACAGAGAGAAAGGGATCATCTAGTTCAGCCACTCCAAGCGAGGCCGCCGAGTATGTTTATTCACCAAGCAAAAGAGAGAGAAAAAAGAGAGGCTAATTTAAGTAGTGCCAAGCATGGCAAATTTCATCCCACCACAGCTAGAGAGAGAGAAAAGAGTCGCGCCATGCTTGGTAAAGTATACAACCTTCCCAAGAGTGAAATGAAATCCAAGTCTTGTTAAATTTATTGATCAGGGCCATTAAATCCCCAAGGGCTTTGTGAGTTGCATTGAATTGGTAATAAATGATCTTTATAGGCAGATGTTGTTATGGGAATTGGGTAGCTGTTATTGCCTGTTGTTTACTGAGGAAATTGTACTTTGTTTTGTGTGTAGTATTACCGATATTATTTAGTTATTTAATATCATATTATTATCATATGTAATATGGACACACTATGGACTATTGTATCTGTGCAAAAGCCAGAGTGGAAATCATTCATATCAATAGATAACTTAAAGGAGTCACAGTCACAGCTATATCTGTTGGTATGTTTTCTGTGAACAATGTTTTTGCTTTTGCTAAAATATCACTCATTAACATATTTAGTCACTTATTTAGTATTATTACAATACATTTTAAGGTATTCAAACAGTACAAAAATCAGAGTATGACTTATGCTTATCACTACCCAAAAAGCCATACTGGGTTGGGGAACAAATATGAACAGTTTAGTGAAAGAGAAATAAATAGTTTCGGAATTAAGTTAACAAACATTTGGGGTTACGTGAAACTAAAACTACCTTTTCTTGCTCTATGCCTTTGTGGAAGTGGATACGTATGCGTATACCATTATTTATGTGATATCATTGATACCATGATACCATTTTTTATGTGCATGCCTTTGCGTTTCTTTCCACAGTTGTGAAGTGCTTGTCTGAAGAAGTCTGACCTAGGTCAGACGAAACGTTACAGAAATATATTTGTCTTAGTGTGCAGCAAGATTCTTGAATAAAATTAAGTTATGTTGTCGCTGTACATACATAATAAACTATTTGAACTGTTCAAAAGTCAGAATGTGATTAGAGCATAACACTAACTAGCATTGTGAGTATGGCTAGCCAATAAACCATAAAGGCTATAACAACAAATGGAAACAGTTATTATGAGCAGTGAGTGAGGAAGTTTTCGAATAGACAGGGGGGAATATAATAAAAGAGGTTGGAAACCACTGACATAGAAAATATTATATCTGCAAATTTTTTAGTTTTCTGTTATACTCATGGTTTATATCAAGTTTTGAATTATTTTAGCTTAATATTTATTCAAAGGCAATTCCAGTAAGGATATGAAATAGCTTTTCAATGTATTCTCAAACAATGTCTCACTCATTGTTGCTTATCGATTTTAATCGGTAAGTATGTTGATAGGTATTTATCTGTCTGTATGTCTGTTTGTCTGTGTGTTAGATTCGATATCTCACGAAAGCGAGGTTCAATCTGCTCCAAATTTTGCATGTGCATTCATCTTAGCTCGGATCAGAAGCCTATTGATTTTGGATGGATTATGTCGTATAATTAGCGAGTTATTATTTAATTAGTGATGGGACACACGGTGTCACTATGGAGTAAGACCACTGTTTTGGGGACCCCCTAACCTTCGGTCGATAAGTCTTCGGTTTCCAACCGAATTCTAGTTTTTACCTTGTTAACTATAATTGGTGATATATCAAAGATATTCTCTAACCGAAAAGTAGAGATGAGAAAAAGCTTGTTCAGTAAATATATATAAAATGTGAATTTTTGATTTTAAAAACTCGATTTTAAAACTTTTTATTGAAATACTTTGATGAATATTGTTCAAACTATGATCAGATACCAGTTTAAAGAGTGATATGCCTTTGTAATATTTTCAATAAATCCTCAAAAGATCACTATGAAGCGGATGTCATACAGTCTGCATAACTCCAGAAATTGAGAATAATTCTGCTTGTTATTTGATACACAGTTGTCTGTATGTGTTTGTTATTGTCTGTATATGTATGGTGATATTTGCAGTGTGCTGGGAGTGAAAACCTTATCAAAATGAGGCATAAGATAAATTGATTCTACTGCTTTAATATGTACATTTATACATTCTGTTGCCTTTCCTATTCTGTAGAATTCTATGTATTTCCATAGCAATGCCTCGCAAAAACTCTGCGTCATTCAGTAGCGTGGATTATGAAAAATCGAAATCCTCCAAGCAGACTCCAGAGATTGAATTCATACTCGAGTCTCCGAGATCTCACCATGGAATCGTCAAACATTTACCCCCTAATGGGCGTCGACATAGCTCTGCCACGCCCTCTTTCTCATGCAAAGAGAGACTATCGTCATGGCAACGTTTTGATGATTCCGATGAAGCAGCCATCGAGGATTCTGGGAATTATTCCATGGATGAGCGATCACCAATAGAATTGCTTGTGAACGATGTCAAGTGTGACTTCACAATAGGAGAAGACAATGAAGATGATGAAAATCATTTTGATGTCATAAGCTGGTGTTCTGATGAATCTGTTTTCTCCGATTCAAACTCTGAGGTGGTGGTATTTACTTATTGAAAATGTATAAGTACGTTCACTGTCAGCCTAACGCAGTGCTTCCCAAACTAAGGGTTATAAATTGGCAATTTTAGGGGGTAATCCAGATTTTACAAATTATTTTGTAATTCCCCGTTTAATTGATTAGTCTGCGTAAAAGCTGAATATGCAATGCTTGCATCGAGTCAGTGAGCCCAGTCGTCTAGTCCAGTGCTCTTCAACCGGGTATACGGTAGGCCAAGTGTATACCGGTCCATAATTTGAGTATACAACTGATAAAGGGTATACAAAGGGTGTACAGCTTAGGTCAGGGATTCTAAATTCTGATATAATAAATTTTAAAATATTTAAGCGGACACAACAATGCAAACGCGGCGCACATGAAATGTAATATGTCTGTTACGCAGAAAACCGACGTGAGCACTTTGTTGCATCACAAGTTATATAGATAATGCGGTTACGTGTCTGGGTTGGTGATTTAGGCTGCCGTGCACTTCGTATGATTTACGCTGAACATTATTCCCGCTAACGCTAAGGCCGTCAGTCAAATTTATAACTTGCGGCCACTAGCCTGTTAGATTGCATGATGATATTTCAGTACAATATGTGCTTGAAATTTAATGTTTATTTAAGCCTTAAATATACATTGGTATTTGTAAGGTATACAAAGCTCTTGAAAAATTGTAAAATGTATACCACGATGAAAAAGGTTGAAGAACACTGGTCTAGTCACACGACTCATAGGGGCATAATAACAATTCTGTGTCATACATATTGTAGGCTAAAATGCTAGGCTAGCTCAAGTTTAGAATCTTAAAGTGTGATCGGACCATGCAATAGGTGTTGCTATTATCGCTAATATTGGTCAAAGAAAAATTGATAACGAGATGTCTACTGTGTTTTTATGGTAAAGATATCAAAAAGTTGGGAGTTGCAGGTCCAGCGGAAAATAAATTTACCAAGGACCAATTTTTATTTTTAAAAGTTTTTTCAAGAACTTCACTTCCCAGGTGTTTCTTTGGTTGTATTGACTTGGTTTTCATGCGTCGCATATTAATAAACAACATTTGCTAGCGTGTAATGTACCGTGATAACCTATATAGGTTGGGGTTGTCTGTAACTTTACTCCGCTACGAGTCTTTCTGTTACCTGTTAGTGAGTGAGTGCGATGTACCACCATAACTCTCTCTCCTGGCACTTTAGTTAGTGGTCGTACGTAACTGTACTCCGAAATTAGTCACTTATACCTCATAGTGAGTGAGTGAGTGTAACACAGACATGGGCAAAATACGGTGCCCGGGCCAAATTCGGTCTGTTGGGTAATTCAATCTGGCCTGCCTGATGTTGCCACAACCAAACAGAAACAAAATTTTAATGTTTTAGCTAAAAATAGCTCAAGGAATTTGTTGAGATTGCGGTTAAATTTACTTTTCGGCACGAGGCATATTGTTTTCCACTTTTGATTTTGTAGCACTGTAAATATTGTTCATAAAATGTAACTTTCTATGTCACACTTACATGGCCCGCCAGTCTAAGTGGGCAAAATTTTTGGCCCCTGGTTCAAAAACCTTGCCCACGTCTGGTGTAACGTACCACTCGAGTGTCGAACACTTTATCATCGAGCCATGCTAGATTGACCTTTCTCAACTCTGTTTGATGAATCATTTATCTTACGGTTGAGTGACTCTTGTCATTTATGCGAGCGCTCTTTAGATGGACGAGGATTTTTAAGTGGCTTTATCTTTTATTGAAGTGGGATTGTTATAGAACTAAAATGGGTCGAAAAATATATTTTCATTTTAAAAAAGAAGAATGTAACTCTAAGTCATAAAATTTAAATAATGTCTGCATGAAGGAGAAACTTGCTGTTGGATCTTTCCTGAAAATCCTATCATTATTGGGTGGCGTTGTGTAGGGCTCTACACAAGTCGTACTTATATCAGAACTGATGCGATTTCTGGTACGCGATTTTTTGAATGTCATGTGCAAAAACACAAAATTACATGCTTACAGATTACCTAAAATAATAGAGCATGTGCTCACAGTATTGTATTGTCAGCAGATTGATGCTACTAAACAATCATTATTTTCACTAGTGAATATGAAATTAAATAACGACTGATGATAACTCTAAACAAAACATGGAAAACCATTACACTATCAATTGTCACTTGAGGGTAAAAATTACAAATATTTTGCGCTGTAGGTATGTGAAATCAATGCAATCAATAGGGTGACCCAAAAAGACGAAACCGAGTACATTTTGAACATAGTGCATGTATTGCACAAAACGTCTTTCAGTCCCACAAGTCACGAATCTATAGGACGAGTCTTTATAGCTATTTCGTAGCTTGAAATACAGGAAAACTGAATTTAGCGTAAATTAGCATTACTATACGCTCGGACTGTAGGTATATTAGCAGTGATTGGGCTGTGGTTATGTGAACTCAATGCATCATTTATAACCATATACATCCGAAATTGTACATTGAAATTCCTTCTTCCAAATCACTTTTTGCCTTACCAGCCATATTTGTAGACTAACAGGGAAAATTTGGTGTAAATTAGCATTGCTGTGCTCAAACTGCATTGTGAATTAGCTTCGATGCATGCTAAAGTGCGGTAATGTGAACTTGTCTCGATCAATTTTAGAATCTACATTCACAGTTTTTCATTAAAAATCTCTAGCTTGAGTGGCATATTATCTTTCACTGAAGTGGAGTTGCTTTATAGAAGGGTTGCTACTCGTCGCGTTGTTTGGCCACTGGCACTGGTTAATAAGCTATTACAATAGATAAGTCGAAATCATACTCGACCAACGTAAGACTACCTCTGTGATTTAATTCATGACCCGAGGTTTAAGGACAGTACTTTCAAAGCTGGATATTCACCAGTAACTGTATGTCTCGTACAAAAGCTTATTCAAAGCAAACTTGAGTAAATTGGTTTGGCTATGATGAAGATAGTTCCCAAATATCAATAGTCCTACATGCACCCATAACTGCTAACCAAATTTATTCCACAGCTCTTAATTAATTAGGCTTGTCCACGCTCTCTGTGATGAAAAACATTTTGCTGATTCAGTTTATATTGGGAGTGGTGGCCAAGTGGTTAAAGCGTATGACTTAACAAGTTTGTAATATGGCATCGCTGTTTTAAAATCCCGGGTTCAAATCTCATGTCCACCACTTTACCCATGGTATGATAAATTGGGGAGGAAATATTGTACTAGAAAAATTTCGATCTTTTCAAATTATTGCGGCTCCTCAGCTGGCAGTGGTGGCTTGTACAGTGCCTTTTCCAGAGTGAAAAAAAATGCAAATAATCCATATAAAAAATTTATGAATTCATTCTTACTTTCAGGTTGTTTCGGAGAAAACTAGCCACCAGCTGTCGCCGTTGAGTCGGCCCAAATTGCGGAGTGGGAGTTTGGGGGTGTTGGAGGTGTCGTCTATCAAATCAAATCCATTTCTACTTCAGGATCAGAAATTGAATGGTTCCGAGAATGTAGGAAAAGATAAAATTTTAAAACGTATCAACAAAAATGGAATACTTAACGAATCATTGTCTGATGATTGTGATGTTAACAATGGGATATTATTTCGAAACAATGGTCTTAAATCTCCAAAGGTTGTAATTCAACCAATAGAATCAGAAGACGAACATTTTGAATTTGACGGGAACAATAACCGACCAAAGGATTCTATTTCTTTATCGTCCGAACTTTTAACTTGGTATAACGATATTCCCCCCTCTGGAAAATCAGCGTCTCTTCCGAGGAAACTCCCCCCACCTCCTGCTTCACCACGTTCCAGACATAGACTCCCCACATCACCCTCTGCAAATCCAGTATCGGCGTCTTACACTCAGAAGGTTAATTTAAATGTTTTTAAGACTTCTCCATTTTTCTTTTCCTTTTCGTATATTTTATTTCGTTATACTCCACTAGTCCAGTGGTTTCCAATTTTTTTTTGTTAAATTAAACCCTCCCTCCTTTGAAACTCTTTATTCCCTCCCACTCTATCACAGAAACTACTTTTTTACTTCTGAGTGAGTGCTTGTAACTTTGCCCAGAGATGACTTTACTTATGAGTGATTTCCCGTAACTTTGCCATCTAATTCTGAGTGGGTGTACCACCGTAAATCTGTACAGGTTTAGTGTTCTTGCTCCGAGATGAGTATCCTTTACTTCCGAGTGAGTGCCTGTAACTTTGCCCAAAGATTAGTCTCCTATACTTCCGAGTGAGTGCCTGTAACTTTGCCCAAAGATTAGTCTCCTTTACTTCCGAGTGAGTGCCTGTAACTTTGAGTAAACCTGTATAGTTTCGGCTCCCTTTGCTCAAAGATGATTCTCTTTTATTTCTGAGTGAGTGAATCTTCTTTGATCAAAATGTCCATGAGTGTGCTCCAGCTCTTTCAAGTGTGTTTGGTGTGTTGCTAATTTTCTTTATTTCATTTTCAGATCTCCCCACTGTTCTTCGATAACTCATTTGTGACGAATAAAGGCCAATCTCCTGGGCTTCACACTGTCAAAGGTCATCGTCACGGTAACAGCAATAAACAATCATCGCTATATCGTAACTATAGTGACATTGTTAACAGAGACGAATTATTACCTAACAATTCTATTCGTCGTAACCGTAGCAACGTTTCTGTACGTTCATCACCAAACAGTCCGAACAAAAGTGCAACTTTACCCCCGTCACATCGTTTGTCCCCAAATCGAACTCATTCCTTACAATATAGTGCAAGTGACTGTTCCAGTCGTAGCCAACCTTCTTCACCTGGGAGTCACGTACGACGTACATCCTCCTTGCTGTCGAGTCCTTCGTTTTCACGGAAAAAAGCGAGCTCCTATAAAAACCTCGGTGGTACTTCCTCATTAAACCAACCAGGATCAAAGTTTGAAGTTCAGAGTTCACGTAAAAGTAATAAAGGTTCACGCAAACGTACAGAGTGGAGACCGGTGGAAGAAATGACAAATTACGAGGGGTATTACCCTGACGAAAGTTCCGATGGGGAGGTAAACTAAATATTCCTACTACAAAGCCTACATACTAGGACTGTGAAATAGCCTTCAACTAAACACTAAATCAAGATTGAAGTACTTTACTCGACAATCCTCACAAATAAACACGCTGATACATGTGTGACTATAATTGGTATGGGTTGAAATAATTCACCCCTAGATTAGGCAAGGGGCCTGTAAAAGTTAAAGTCTACTGCAGTCACATAGGTTTATGTAACCACTGGTCAATCCTGGCATCCTCCACCACCAAACCCATGAAACAAATAACTGGCAAACTAATCCCATACCGACATGAACTGGTAATCTGATAAAAGCCATGTTATCAGCTCTCCTTTCAACCTGGAATAAATATAAAACTTTTATGAATAAGTCTTCTTATTGTCTCTCCTCCCTTTTAGGTTTAGGCTGTTGATGGGCGCTGGATGCATAATTTATGGTCACTTCTTTGCTCCTGTTTTTTTATTGGCCTTAGATATAAATCCTATCACAACTATTTTTTGTTAATTCATAATTTAAACAAAACTTTTTACTTAAGGTATCCGAGCCTTCTAGCGGAACAAACGAGCATCACCATAAAAGTTTCGACTCCGTTGTTTTTCATGTTTTGAAAGTTTCGCCGGAAGATTTTGCCAGTCAGTTGACTTTGCTTGACCTGGCCGCATTCAGAGAAATCCAGCCTCAAGAATTAACAGGTGAGATTGTGTGTGTTTGCTACTACGACAGGTATGGGCAAATTATGGCCTGCTGAAGCATTTTGTGTCCCCCAATCCACCCGGCCTTGTTGGATACAAAATTAAATTATTCATAGTTTAAATATTTTAATAAAGATGAAAAATAAATCAAAATTTGTAAGTAGTAACTTTTAAAAATTTTCTCGAAGAGCAGGATGATGGCGCAAAATGCTTTGACAGGCTGTAATTTGGATCTTCAGTGTTACTCAAATTAGTTGTTGCTCGCTCAAATTTGTATAGATCAGTTTTGGTGTTGTGGAGTCGGTGGAGAAGTTGACTATCGTTTACGAAGCCTCACAATAAATTACGAAAAATAAAAACAAAACACACATCGTTATTTACCGACTGATGTCTCTGAGTAAACTGAAATTACTTTATTCAATGACTCGGATGTATTCACTGCTTCGTATTTTAAAAATATTCAGTATTTTATTAAGTAAATGAATAGCTTGTGGAGTCCCTAGGTTTTTTTTCACGGAGTTCTTGGGTTCCGTATGGAGCGCTGTAGCCACTTCGATTGACGAATGCCAGGCCCCCTCATGCGGCTTCGGCTTTCCTTTGCTGATTTGTTGGGGGATAAAAAGGCATTGTATCAAATATAGAGCTCTTACCTCAGTTCCCTTCTACTTACTCTTCACACTTTTTGTTTTGGATCCACAATTCAATCTAATTTGTGTCAAACTTTTTCTTTTTTTGTTTTTGCCAGGTTGCGGCTGGATAAAGAAGGACAAACATGAAATTGCTCCGAACGTCGTGCAGATGACGCAACGTTTCAATAATACAAGTTTTTATGTCGTACATGAGGTACTTCATGCCCAAACGTTAAAAATACGAGCCGAAGTCGTCACACATTTTATTCGAATTGCGAAGAAATTAAACGATTTGAACAATTTACACAGTCTGATGGCTGTAGTGATGTCTCTGAGTTCTGCACCGATACATCGACTCACAAAGACATGGGGGGTGAGTAACAAGGTTCACGGACTATTCGGTATTCCCGAAGTGTGTGTCCCGAACCAGGTTGGGGTTAGGCCATGATTGTATTCCGATTTTCCTTATTTTAGTTCTATTACGAGTTCGTTGACTGTTTGTGTTAGCAAAGTGAATATACCCCTGCCCATAAGTTTCAGTCCATTTACACAACTTGATGTAAAGTAGCTGAACCAAATTAGTTGCCTCCATATTGGTATATATACTTCTGGACCGCCGACTATTTGTCCCACGGAAGCTATTCCTGCTCCCAAGTTTTGACTTTGGGCTAAGGAAATTTTTGACTTCCTATTCTGTGTTGTAAAAATGCAAACTACGCCGCGGTGGTTCTCAAACGATGGGCCGTGGCTCATAAGGGGGGCATGGACAATTTGTTGAAGGGGGGGTGGGGGTGGGGGGATGGGGTAAGCTACTTAAAAATAAAAATATTTTTTAGATTTAATCTTGCTTGTCATATTGAAGATGTTTACATTTCTTTGTTTTTAATATTTACGGTTCATCGACATATTTTCTTTTGTCTAACTACCTGTTATTTGTAGCTTAGCTAGTTAGCGAGGCTTGACAAATTACTTGACAAAGCATGAACCTCAATTGTGCTGAGCTCAACTAACTTTGTCTGCCTCTCAGATTAAATATCTACAGTCCCCCATATCAGTTTTCATAGGAAAATGTGAAAAATTTTGGCCTTTCAGGAGCTTTTTATAAAATCCCATGCTAAACACCTTACCTGGGGTGTAATAATTTGCACAGGCAATGCCGAATCGGGCAGATTCTGGTTCTTTCAATCTATGGAACCTTACCTGGTGCTCCCTGTAAAAAGCTGGGTGAAATACATATGAAAAAGCGTGAAAAAAGAGTTGCAAAAATGAATTTTCCCCAACAATAACAATCCCTAATCTACGGTAGTTCCCCCATTGTAATGGCATCCTGTACAGATATTTGTTCAGAACTAAAATTGGAATCAAATTATGGCCTTTCTCCCATAGTATGTGTACCAGATTAGGTTTAGGTCATAATTTCAGATACAAATACTACGGGAGTCACTTGGCTAGTCCATGAACACCTAATGAAACTAAAACTGGAATCAAATCATGGCCTAACTCAAACCTGGTACACACACAACGTTCCGGTATCCGCTATCTTCGCTCACATACTTCGAGAGTACCATAAAAACAACAACAATAATTAAGCAAATTGATTACTTCATGTCCAATAATGCTTGATACCCATAAATTTTTTTTATTTCTAGATTGTGAACAAGCACTACAGAGCAACATTTGATCGGCTAAGGATTTTGATGTCGGAGGAAAATAATCGAATGAATTTACGGAAGCATATAGAAGGGATTAAGCTACCCTGCATTCCGTATTTAGGTATGTCCTATTTTTGTGCACTGATGCAGAAATTTCTGATACAGGGTTTGAATTTTTAAATTTGGTATTGACAATTTTAATATTTTTAGCACCTACGTGTTTTTCAGTAGGTTTTCAACAGTTTTTGGGTTTTTCATATTTTAGTAGGTTTTTTGGTTGGTTTGGCACTTTGTTTTGTTATTTTGGTGAGTTTTTAACGGTTTTGGTAGCGGCTAAGCGAACCATCCTGTAGCGGCGAGGAGTCCAGCAATCCTCTCGCACATGATTATGCCTGCATGGGATTCGAATCTGCGAAACCACGCAGGATAATCAGAGCTGCGGCAAGCGTATTTCTAGCGCTGCTGCATCGCCGTATTTTGTGAGTTTTTATTAGGTTTTAGGCGGTTTTAGCATGTTTGAGTGTGTTTTTGGTAGGTTTTTGACAGTTTAGGTAGATTTGCCTTGTTTTCCTGGCAATATACCCGGATTAGCAAAAACACTGAAATGCCTGAATCAATGTCGTATATGATTCTTAACATTCAAAATTCATACTTAACAAATTTTTTCTCAATTTTTCAGGTTTATATCTTGGGGATTTAATATTCGTTGACTCCGCCCATCCCGATACTGGCGGACTCGAACCGCATGAGCGAACAAATAAGATGAATAATATTCTGCGAATTTTAGCGGAATTTCAGCAATCTCAATATGGTAAGATATTGCATGGGGAGCGGAAAGCTTATAAGATGACCTAATCATTCTTCACTAATTGAATCAATATTCAATATTTGAAATCAAGTTTTGGATCTACGCTTGAGGGGACAGTGTCGTTTTAGTCGTTTGTCTATCTGCGTGTTTAGCTGTAGCGTCTGAACGCCTGGACCAATCCGAATGAAATTTCTGGTGCATGTTTACTAATCGCTGTAAACTCCGTAAGTACTTCTAGTTAGCGTGGCGCATACATTTTTGGATATGTTATGCCTTATTCCCAACTGACTACGTCATCCAAAAATTATGTCAATACAACGGCACAATCATGTCATAGAGCTTGCCAAAGAAAAGCTACGATCACCCGAAATGGCCACGCCAACTAAAAGTACTTGACGGTGTTTGGTGAACTAGCCCCAAATTTCTAATGTGGGTTATGCTATCATCCTAGTTATGTGCGTTTCGCCGAAAGTCCGGATTGATGTTTCGTTTCCATGGCATCAGCAAAAAAATGCGCCAACCGATAGAAATTTGTAAAGTATACAGACGAGAAGCGCAGCGTTGAAAATGAATTGGCAGTTTTGGTATCCCGATCAGTGCAGTGCGCTGTTGTTATAGGTGCATTCTTACGTGGATCGTAACGGTTTACTGAAGTGTGGGCCGCCTCATGTATCAGTAAAGATCCTCGTTGCCTATTGGCATGTTCTGTTATATTATGATTTTGAATATTGGCATTATAAGCAATTTAGCAAACACAATTACCCTCACTTTTGCTCATAAATTCCAATGAACTTTGAAATAACAAAGGTTTTTTTTTTTCAGATAACTTAAGAGAAATTCCCCACATCAAAAATTTCCTTCAATCCGTGAAATATATTGAGGAATTGCAACGATTCGTCGAAGACGACAATTACAAGTATGTTGGGCATTTTCGCGACAGTATTAAATTGGAATTAGTTTCATGTAATACATGTGCCATTCATATCAGTACTCTCTTTCTCGTTGAAGTCTCAAGATCTTTTTCTGAGCTAATGCTTGTATTTAGTGGAGGGCCTGCATCTCTTATTTCAATACTTTTTAGGTTGAGGGTTTTAGGCCATGCCAAAACCCTAGCCTGTATATAGTGCTCAGTGTGTCAGAGTATGCTTCTATCCATCAGTCTTCATTTTTCCTAACCGCTTGCAATATTTCAGGACATTTATGTCTCAGGAATTCATCTATATATTGTAACTTTGCTAGATATTTTCAATAATGTATGTTACCTTGATTTAGTAAACTTGCAGAAAAATAAAATACATCATTTATTTTTAGGCGATCTCTAAAAATCGAGCCAAAGCAATCAAATACGCCGCACAAAGGATTAAATGCATCGCGGGAGGAGTTAGCGTTACCGACAGACCACACCCTCCCTCGTAGATCAATGACCCCCCCAACCCAACAACTGTTCAAACCGGGACATCGGAAATCACATAGCCTTGGACGGGACATCAGGCCACGTACAGATCCAGCTAAACTACATAAAAGGTGAGAATAGTGTGTAATTTCTATGTGCTTTTCATGTGATGTCTAATTTTAGTTCCGAATATGGCTCTAGATCAGGGGTAGGCTTTTCAAATTGCGCCAGTTACAGATAATGGACTTGGTTAGTGGACTTGAGGTTCAAAACTCAATAGAGTAAATTCGGTGCTCCCGAAGTATGCGAACCAAGATGGCGGACATCGGAACGTAACATGGGTAACAGGTTGGGGTTAGGCGATAATTTTTTTCCAATTTTCCTTATTTTAGTCCTATTATCAGTTCGAAGACTAGCCAAAAGCCTCCCGTAGTATTTATACCTAAAATTATGGCCTAACCCTAACCTAGTACACATATTACATTCCGATGTCCGCCATCTTGGTTCGCATACTTCGGGAGCCCCGTAAATTCAGTTTATGTCCAACAGCTAGGCTAACGTTTACATAATAATAAGAAGCACAATGTAACAATCGGGGTCATTATGACTTCATTTTCATCGATATTTTCAACAGAAATTCACATCCATAAAAACTATAGTCGTAATTGCAGCCGAAACAAGTAGGCCGGATGAAACACTTCGATGGGTTGTAGTTAGCCCATCCTGGGTATAGTCTAGTTCAAAGCAAATGCATTTGTGTGTGAAATATTTCACTTATTTGCCGAATCATTTATGTTCTTTATATTTTGATAATTTTTGCTATAATTGCAATCTTCTAATTTCTATAATTTCAAAGTCCTAATTTCCATTTCATCATCTTGTGGAGGGGGATAGGTTTACTGGTCATTTGGGCTAAATATGAATTTTGGCTTAGTGCTGTGGTTACCAAAGTTGATTGACCGGAAGACAAATAATAGAAAAGGAAGGATATTCGCGGCCTGGGAGAGGGGAGCACCCGGTATTGGCTGATACCAATATCAGTATTTATAATTAAGATACTGGTATTACTGAATAGATTCAAATATACCGTATATGCTCGTTTTACCGCCCGATCTTGATTAGGGGCCGTTTGAATAGCCGCCCATGTGAACAGAACATAAAATAAATAAGGGCCGGTGCTTGAATACCCGCCCGATGTAAAAGCTGATTTTTCAGTGGTAGAGAACAATAGGAAATAAGAAGCACTTTTGTCACAACGCTGTTGAATTTTAAGCGCCGGTAGGTAACACTCACGCCTTAGGTGTCCAATTACATAACAGATAGCATTGATTACGTAACACCGTGGTTCTCAAACTGGGCGTCGCGACTCCCGAGTGCGTCGTTTCAATATTGATAGGGCGTTGCAAAACTAACCTGCTGTGCGTAGAAAAAGTCAAAATTTTCGTTATTCTCAGTTAAAAATAACAAATGCCCGTGCTTGAATAAGGGTCGGTTTGAATAAGGGCCCGGTTAGTGAGATTGGTTAAAAAAATATGGGCCCGGGCTACAAAACGAGCAAATACGGTACACGTGCTTGAACTGTTTTTGAATTTTTTCAGATAAATAATTTTTTTTTAAATCTGTGATATAATTTATATAATTTCTTTACCCTGTGCTTTTTCATTTCATTTATGTTGCTTTTCTTTCATAATTTGCTTCATAGACGTTCTTTTGCAAGACTGAAATCACGAGACTTTGGCGCATCAAACGGAGCCTCGCCATTGCAACCACCTCAACTCCACAGAGTACAATCATCTCCCGACCAAAGGTAACACCATGTACATATGCAGCCAGAACTTGACATATACAGCCAACTGCTAACTTTTTACAACTAACCAATTATATGTATACAGTCAACAATTGTACACATACACATACAACAACTGTACACATACCACCAACCAACTATACCTAAACAGCCAACTAACTATACCTATAACTGCGAATTACGTATACAGCCAATCAAATATGCATATACGGCCAAAACTGTATGAATACAGCCAAACAAATATACATAATACAGCTAACCATTTAATGTACATATACAGCCAGTTGCATATCATGTCATGTGCTTATACAGAGATCTTAATAACATGCATATACGCCCAATGGATTCTGGTCCTTGTACAAGGCCTTGTTCAGATTGGAAGGCATGAACAAGCATGGCATGAGAAAACGAGCAATGATATACATTATAGGCTATATTCGGAAAGTATATACGTTGACTCCTTGCTTTATACAGGTTGTTAGTCCTTTTGTTGTTTGCATGTCTGCCTGTCTGATGATGTTTCATAATATATTTTTTGCCAGAATTATTTTTTGCTATTGAATCACTTAGAATAGTATATATAAAGTTATTTCTTAATCATTATATTTTGTATCGTTTCCACAGTGGGAGTCTACCAAGAAGTGCTCAGCAAGTCGGGCCAACACATTTGCCTGTTGTCATGACAACCTCTCTCCTAGATGACAGCATCATATCACCGGGGGCGCAAACGGGTCTCCCTAGCAACAGCGGATCTATCGGGAGCAGCCGTTCAAATTCGGGGTCAGAATTTAGTGACGATACATCATGGAATGGCATCAGGTATTGGTTGTTTTGGTTACATGTGTGATGTCATGGATATATTTTATGCTTCAGTAGACATGTGATATGTTGTTCTCTGTGATATCAAGGATACATTTATGGTTGAGTAAAAAGAGGTATAGAGGATCAGTTTTATGTTTATAACCCTTTTGTTAAATTTGATAGTTGTTTTGAATTTTCTACATTTGAAATAAGCATAAGAAGAGAGCAGTGCTTAACCATGGCTTCTTGTCCGTTTACCAGTCCATGTCGGGTATGGGATTAGTTAGCTAGTTATCTTATTTTGAAAGCGTGGGCTTGATAGTGGAGGAAGCCGTAACTGACCAGCGGTTATGTGAACCACCCTACAGCGGCATAGAGTTCAGTAATCCCTTCACAAATATTAAACTCCCAGGGTAGCAGATCAGTAAAAATAAAGCTAATAGTCCCTTAAAACTGAGGGTAAATGGTAGAAATATGTTGTTTCTCAAAAAATTGCCCCAGACCTCATACCTCTCGGAAATGAATTGAAATAAAAAAGTAATAGCCATCTTTCGGTACTGAGAATTTGAAGTTGCCATACCAAAAAAAAGTGGCCGCGAACATCAATTTAGGAAAACGATGAATAAATTCACTTCGTGTCCGGTCTGATATTGATCTAAATCTCCATGATAAACCTTGAAAATAATTTTGTTGATAATCTGGGTCAGAGTTCGAAGGTCATTGGTTTAATTTCCAGGAAATGGGTTCATCGCTTTGGCAACAGAGACTCCGATACTTTAGTCAGTGATCAGAAAAAAAGTTTGACTTTTCCACTAAGTTCAAGGTCAAGAGGTCATATGAAGGTCATGGAAAGTTATAAGGGTCAAGGGTTAAAGGTGAAAAGCTCAAAATCGAACCCAGGAATTTTGATGCACCAAATAGAAAGACAGTATGAAGAAGAAAGTTTGTTACAGGAAGAAGATCAGGAAGAAAGGTTAGAGTTCATTCCCCACTAGTAGTGGTGGGATTTTATATTTATCTCAGAAAGGAAAGCCTATCAGATATGGTCAAAAGGTTTATCATTGTAGAATTATTTATTTACAAGAGAAAGGAGCAATGGCCTAAAGCTGGGGTGTGCAAACTGCGGCCCGCGGGCCACATGCGGCCCGCAAGAAAAATTTGTGCAGCCCGCAGAGAAATAACAACTTTGAATGGTGTGCCCGTGAAACGAGCATTTAGTTTAGGACTTTAGGTAATCTGGTTTGTGCAAGAAATTCAATTCCTTCTGCGCCACAAAGCCCATACCAGTGCCTGAGTGCCACTGTCGTATTAGCAAAACTAGCTAGCAAAGTTCTTTGCAGAATATACAAAATATATTACAAAAACGTGTTTCTCACTGACCTGGATTAAAGTCGGTGTGGCGATAAATTTGAACAGCAGTTTCTTCAGAAGTTTATGCGTTTGACTCACTATTTCTGCAAGAAACCCTAATAATGCCATGAGGTGACTAGAAAATATAAACAATATTTAATGCTTGTAACTACTAGAAAGTCTATATTAAATAAATGTGCAGCCCGCAGCTTTACTCAGTTTCTTGAATTTGGCCCGCCAGTGAAAAAGGTTGCACACCCCTGGCCTAAAGCATCGATTGATAACCTTCGGCTCCAGAGCCATATGCAACTCTTCGTTCTTGAGGCTCTCGCTTTTGTGAATCAAAGTGGCTGCAGCATTTTTTTGTTAGAAGCAGAATCAGTATTCAATGAAAGTCCTGGGCATAAAGTCAATTACTACTCACTAATTACACATCACAGCGGGTATATATCGAGAACAGTAAAAATGGGATTCAAATCTGTCAAAACAAACTTTTTATTTTTATTTTACAAGTTCTTTTCATTTTGTCGAAAACTGAATTATTGCATCATTCATAATTTATATGGCTAAAACATTGCATCATAAGTGGTTTTCCAAGTTTTGTTGGAACAGATATTGCGACCCCGAGTAGATTCGAGTTTGATCAATGCTAAAGGTTGCCGACACGTGGTATAGACTCTTCTCTCCCTGGGATAAATATATCGATCGTGCGTCTTGTTGTAAGTCTGTGCCTGATGTATTGTTAATGCATTATTGCTTGCACTTGAAATCAGTACCACTACTGCGCCTTATAGTACAATGTGTCTTATATATACGAATAAAAATACAATCTGACAATTTATTGTGAGAGCGCCTCATAATACGGCAGGCTGTATAGTGCGTAAAATATAATAAACAATTTGAATTTCACACATTTTTTAACAGTGCTTCAGAGAGTCGGATGGATCTGGGACGTATTTTATTCGAAGGATGTCTGAGAAGGAAAACAGTTCTTAAGAAAGGAAAGAAGCCACCTGTGAGTTTTTTGATGGTTTCTACCAGTAGTCTAATTCATTTAATCCAAGAGCAGTGGTTCTGAAACTTTTTAAACCTCGCCCCGTTTTAGAATTTGTCAAGTCTGCGCCCCACCTAAAAAATAACTAGTTAATAATATACTACAAATAACAGATAGTGAGACAACAGCAAAACTTAGTGAAAATGAAACAAATATTTTTATTTTTAATTGACTTCACGCCCCCCTATACCCAAAGTTTAAGTTGGCTGCTTGCACAGAGATATTTTTTAAGCAAAAAGCGAACGAGTAATCGTCATATAAATAATTGAAAAATAGCAGTTCCTAGCAGTGGCCGCTCGTACATAGCCTTGCTTAGAGTGAGAGGCATGTACGATACTCATCTAGCAATTGACCCTTGAACCTTGTGATTGTCCCTTGATCTTTCACTTCCTTCCTAGATGCCTTCATGGACAAAGTTCTGGGTTTGCCTCCACAAGTCGCAACTTCTGTTTCATTCAGCTAAAGGCATAAGGGCGAATGAGAGACATCATGTAAGTATACAGCAGGGCTACTCAACTGGCGGACCGCGGTCCGAATCCGGACCTTTCGACAATTTAATTTGGACCGTGTCTGCTTGTTTGTTTTGGCAGCATAAGCACCGTTAGGTACTTTCAGATGATTTTGATACAATTTAAATACACAGCTATACAGTTTGTTGTACTGGTACCAATATGCGACATTTGTGTTTATATTTGCGAGCCATTATTTGACGTTTCGTTTATTTAATGGAGAAATATTCTGTAATGTCCGGACCCCAGTATTTTTGAAGTTTTCTCAACGGACCTTTGGTTAAAATAGTTGAGTAGCCCTGGTATATAGTACAGTAATTTCAGGTTTAACCCGGGGAGAGGAAAGTGATGAGATGGCACACCGAGAAGTGCGTTGTAAATAAAGAAGGGATTGACATATTTATCCCGGGGGGGAGAGGAAATAAGGGCCACTTCTGAGAAACGCTAACCCCATGTTTCGGGAAGAATTTTGTCTTTATTGCTTTGTATTCGTTGTCCTACGTGTTTGCAATCTTCAATTGTGAATTTTTTTGTTTAGTTCAAGCAACATCCGTGCAAAATGATTGTTATACACGAGTGGATGGTGCTTTGCTCAGATGACCCTTCCAAACTTGATGCTTTCCAGCTTTCAAACCCAAACCAGGGAGATATATACAGGTACAGTATGGTTGCTTACTGGACACTTTGGCGTGGTATACATTATAAAATATATCAATATTACACAAATCATGTTTAAGAAGACTAATGCAAAAAATAATCTAAACTCAGAATGAATAAAATAGGCATAGCTGCCCAATAAGACGCTCCCCACCGTAAAATTAAGCCAAAAAATTGGGTCCAGAAAAGCGACTTGATGGCCGAGGAATATGGTACTTGATTTTCTAACCTCGAGCCTACTATGGGCCGAGATGTCTGTATACCTATCCATGCACTTCCGGGGTTTACACTCCAGTTTGAGACCTCAGTCCAAAGCCATCGTGCCAATTCCTAATCATTACGAATTCTAATTTCTGTTTTTTAGGTTCCAATGTGATTCCAAAGAAGTCGCCATGGTTTGGACTCGGAGGTTGCAGGAAGCAATTAAAGGAAATGTACAGGTTGGTCTGATTAGGGATTTATTGGAGTTCTACTCTAAACAAGGCTCTGTAACAGGCACTGATACCTAAGGAACAACAGAGTCATATTTTGGAAGGGCCGGACTTATTTCAGTTTGCCCAACCAGCTAATAACACCTTGGGTGGGTTGGTAAGTATGGGGGTCGGACCAGTGATTTCGAAAGACTGGAGGGCGACAGTTCAACTTCCTGGACGAGATGGGGGGCTTGGTGGTTTGGAACCGGTGGAATATTTCCAGATTGTGCAGCCTATTAATTTATTACTCTCTGGGGGGGGGGTTGGACCCCAGGAATATTCATAGTTCAGCATAGCCTAACTCAGGCCTGCCCAACCTTTTTCGCCTTGCGGACCACTTTCACATAAAGAAATTCGTTGCGGGCCGCAAACGTTTGTACGAAACTTCAATACCAGCTAAGTCCTGATTTCGTTAGAATTTACATAATACATGGAAAGCAAGTTTATTAACAAAAAAATAATTAATTTAATAATTATTCACTGGGTAATTAATATTCCAATATTAAGTCAAATATTAGAATATATGTTTACTATTCGAATATCTGGTAACACGGGACGTGGACTTCGAACTGGCGGGACGTTGAATCAATCATTACACAACGCACTTGTGGATTTCTGACGACCATTTGAATGTAGATAGATCACACCAAAATCACGAAACTTGCAAACATGCATGCCAAAATAGCAAAATCGCCACTTTCCCCGGTGCCTTCAATACTGTAACGCTAAGCCCGGGGTTCGTGTGCAACCTTTAATACAGTGGGGCCAGATATAAATACCTGGGTGAAACTGCGGGCCCCACCTTTACTTAACATAGGCTTTCTAGAAGTTGCAGACTTAGAAAAATTTGGTTATTGATCTTGTGACATGCGTTGTTTGCTTTGAACAAGCTCAGATATAGGCATTGCAACTCAAAAATGTTGGAATTGCTCGCACATACTAGATTAAAATAAAAACTCGTTTCGCTGCCTGCACATCATTATTCAAATGTGGGGCTTCTCCGCGGGTCACACAATTTTTCCTATGCGAGCCGAGTTTGGCCTGTGGCCCACATGTTGCACACCCCTGCGCTAAGCGGTAGTCGTCTTTGTGTGCTTGGAAAAACTAAATTTTTTGTGTGTCCCATATCTGAAGTTGGGCCCACCCCTGGTTTAGCACTTCAACTCATAGACCAGTGGTCGTAAACCACAGGGTACAGTTTTGATCTTAGGATAGTTAGCTGGCAGTAAATTTAGCATGTGTGATTTTTACTCATTTTTTACGTCTCTGAACGAGACTGTGCTAATGGGCCACTCGCTCGTAAATTCTTACTACCATTCATTAGTTCATCCTTTTTCATGTTACCATTCATTAATTCATCCTTTTTCATGTTACCATTCATTAATTCATCCTTTTTCATGTTATCATTCATTAATTCATCCTTTTTCATGTTACCATTCATTAATTCATCCTTTTTCATGTTACCATTCATTAATTCATCCTTTTTCATGTTATCATTCATTAATTCATCCTTTTTCATGTTACCATTCATTAATTCATCCTTTTTCATGTTACCATTCATTAATTCATCCTTTTTCATGTTATCATTCATTAATTCATCCTTTTTCATGTTACCATTCATTAATTCATCCTTTTTCATGTTACCATTCATTAATTCATCCTTTTTCATGTTATCATTCATTAATTCATCCTTTTTCATGTTACCATTCATTAATTCATCCTTTTCATGTTACCATTCATTAATTCATCCTTTTTCATGTTACCATTCATTAATTCATTCTTTTTCATGTTTCTCAGCCAGAGAAAGACCTCATACTCGTTTTTTTTGTCTCTCACTCTGAACAAGACTGTGCTAATCTAAAGGGCTACTCGCTCGTAAATTCTTACTACCATTCATTAATTCATTCTTTTTCATGTTACCATTCATTAATTCATCCTTTTTCATGTTTTTCAGCCGGAAAAAGATCTCATAAATTTGCACGACACATGAACAACAAGAATGAAGCACACTGCCACTGTCAGAATAAATATTTTTATATTTAATATTGGTCTTCCTATCTAGTTTTGTTTGTTTTTTATATTTTAACGAGTTTTGGTAATTAGTGAAAAGACCGAAAAGATATTATGACCAAGGTCTCGGACATTACAACGGTGGGTACAACATTGTTCCAACAAAGGAATATAAATTTTTCGTTCGCCCATCCGAATGAGGCTGATATTTCATGAGATATAAGGGACTACTGTTATTTGAAGAGGCCGACCGCTCCCCGCTTTGTTATTGCTTGCGCGATTTAGCAGTGACAATCAGGGACCAGCACCAGTGTTCCCCCTAAGGTGTGCGCGTGTGCGCGCGCACACAGCTTCCAGAGGCCGCGCACACGCATAGATTTAATGCGCACAGACGTATTTCGATGTAACGTTACAATGTTCTCGGTTGGCAGATTGACAAAGTTTGTTGTTGGCCCACCCATTACCTGGTTAGAACGCCAAAATTTCTTCATTGGTTTTTGCACAAATATTAGTCATTTCCAAAAAAGTGCGCACACACCAAAATTTCTGCGCACACATACTACAAAAAATTGGAGGGAACATTGACCAGCACCAACCGTTCGTTTGTCATGATAGCTAGCAAACCTTATCTTTTCTCAGAGCTATAAGTTTGGCTTTTTTTCTGAAATAAGGGAACCTGTTATTAGAGAGTCCAATACAAAAGAAAACAAGTTCTGAACATTTTTTAATCCCAATTCCAAATCGGGAAAGACGCCGGTCCTTCCAAATAATTTCACCTTCGTACATATAGTTAGATATCAATAAAAGCTTGTACCGGGCATTGTTTAGACCAGGGGTTCCCAAGCTTTTTTCAGGACGACCCCAAAGACAACTTTCAAGTGTCCAGTGCGACCCCAGGTCAATATATTTCATGAAACTTCAAGCTTCTTTCACTGGACTTTGAGTTTGGTCATGTGGTGGTATTAAGTAAAGTTAGCTAAAACCAAACAGTGATGTCACAATGACCACCTACATTTTCTATAGCATAAGCATAGAGCGATGCATATAGGCCTGTTTTACAGTAAGCCATGGTACAAACTGCTAAATTTAACATGGTTTGTCAAATCTTAGATGTTTTGTACATCCATCCTCTACCATACATTAGCGACCCCACCGACCTGTTTGTGACCCTACCTACTCATCACTCCGACCCAATTTGGGGTCGCTACCCTGGTTTGGGAACCCCTAGTTTAGAGAGAAAAGGCGTGAATGGCCGTCGTTTAAAATAAAGTAGGGGAGTAAGCTCGCAAAACATGGATGGGTTACTTTTTATGCTCTAAAAACAGCTCTGTAAAAGCAGAAAAAAAAGCAAAACGTGTAAAAAGCGCTGATGAAATAGTCGTTACTATGAGAACATCCATGCAAAAATACAATTACCCTTCTGGCTGCCTTTTCGTTCTTTTCACTGATTTCTGAGACTTGGTTCCGCTGCTTATTTCTTTATGTTTAGTTTATCTATTTTAAATGTTTTTGGTTAGAAATAGGGTTGCCATATTTTGAAAATGAGGATTGCTTGAAAATATGTTTTTCAAAATTGAAATATTCTAATAATGACTGATTCAAAATAACTTTTTAGGACCAACAACAACTATTTCTCAACAGAAACTATTTTATAAAATACTTTTCAATCAGCTTGAAAAATTCTGTTCAAGCTTACATTCCAAAGTCTGATCAACGGGTAATTCACAAAATTTTTGTTCCTAACAACTAGAAAGCTTGGTGCTTTTCCAACATCAAAATTTTAAATAATTTGCACATTCTTTTGCTACATAGTTTATTATATAGTTATTAGTTTGGGTCTGTGGGACCAACTTCTTTCCCTATTCTATGTTTTTGCATCGCTCGATTTATATAATGCAAAAATACAGTAGCAAAAATGACTATTCTAGGACTTCAAGTCAAAAGGGCAACTGTTGAAATTTTAAAATATTTCTTGAAAAAATTGAATTTGATGCTCATTAAGCTAATATCTAATAATAGATTGAAGTGATATCAGCCAAAGTATTTTGATTAAATTTTACAGAAGTCTGAAAATCAAAATGTTTTCCTCACTTTGTGCCCTTTTGTGTTGAAGTCCTGACATTCTAGGTGATTCAAAATGCTTGCTTACTGCACCTTACCGCTAATGAATTTCTACATCGTAACAGAAATACATTTGTGATTTTCAATAGAAATATTTACTATTCTAAGTGATTTAAGAGTTTCGCTGCACAATCAGAGGCGCGCAAAACTTTTCTTAATTTGGAAATAATAATAGGAATTTCTAGATTAAAAAATTGGTCTCTCACACCTAACCCTTTGAAAATTCCGACAGCAGCTCCGAACTCGAAGAAAATCTCATTTTGTATGTTGTACCTTCTTTAATAAGACTGTTAAAAACGCTAAACTGAATGTTTCTAAAGTTTTTGTTGAGAATTTGCCTTCAATTTTCACTGATAGAATAGTATTTACATATTTATCCTGGGGGAGGGGAAAGTTGATATGACGGCCTAGTCATATGGCACACCACGGCATCTCGTCTGGTTACTTGACCATGGTGGGTATGGGAATATTTAGCCAGTTATTTCAGATGCATGGAATTAAAAACACTGCTCAAATCCTGTGGAAGCATGACAAACTCTGATTTCACAACCCACTGTTCGAATGGGGAAGGAGGGATAAATTCATTCAGGCTCGGGCCTTTCACATTTCTTTGGTGCTGCACCATTGTAGAACAGGTACAATTCTCTCGATTTGTACCATTATGACATCATAAATCAGACTCATATTACATCCCCCCTCTGAAACAACAACTCAATAATCAGATATAAAGTTTACTATTTCTTGTTGACAACTTGCCTGACGCCTCGTTCAGATCGAAGGTGTGAAACGCCAGTGGTTCCTATCGCTAATTGTTGAAATGCTGTAATTTTTCCGCCATTTTCTGCCTGTATTTTGTTATGACTGATTCAAATTGTATGATTGAATATGACGTCACTATTGTTGCATTTTTTCTATAGTTGCATCACAATTGTAGCACTGTATCTATGAAGCTTGTCCGAATGTACTTTTTCATCCTCGCTTGACGGCCACTGGTTATTTTTTATGTGCCATGTTTGTAGAGGAAACAAATATTGGGGGGGAATAATATAAGAAATATTATATATAAGACATGATAATTATGGCGCGTTTTACAGGGAAAACGTGAATGGATAAAAAATGGTTTATGATATAAGACACTATGGCGGGATATAATGTGATGTCATATTTGAAAATGTGACATCATAACAGGGAAATGAGATAGATCACTGACTCGTGACATGCACGTTTAAGACAGAAAAATATGTCATACGATAAAATATGATGTCACAATTACAAAATATAATGTCATAATTACAAATTATGATGTCACAATTACAAAATATGATGTCATAACACTTTTGATAGTATTTGGCTGACTGAGTTGACATCTCAGGTTTCTGAGAGCCCACCGCCTGACCCAGGATACCATAAATTGGAAATATTTGATACCTCTATCTATGGGGGGGTGAACACCTTTATTCCCTTGAAGTTTCAAACACCCTCATCAGGTGGTGTGACACCACACTTGAATGTATTTGAGTATCCAGAAAATGTAGTATATAGCTGTGTAGATGATAAGACAAATACAAAACCCCCTTTTTTTGTGTTACAAATATCGCCAATAGCAAAATAATTACCCCCAACCCCCTCACTAAACTGAGAGCTGTGGAGAATACTGAATGCCACAACATCTGTCATTCTATTGCACTGAGTACGGTAACCGATGTATAGAGCTATATTTCTTTAAATATGTGTTAATCATATTTCAGCTTTATTTTGAAAAATAAACCGAAGCAAAAATATTTTGTTGGTGTTCTTTTACTTGAACTCTATATGTACCCGCCAGGGATACGAAGCCCGGGGAAATTTCCATCCGGATTCTGGGCTATTGAAAAGGAGACTCCGGTTTTACTTGGTTATCGTCGGTGTGGAGCACTGTGTAGTAGGGAAACTCATCGGATCCATCGTTTTTCTGTGAAATAAATACAAAATGCAAATGATTAGTAAAGTGAATATAATGTCCTCGTCGAGTATGAGGAAAAATATTGGGAAGAAACTATAAAGTTTTTCGGAGGCGTGGATGGTTTCGGCATCGCAATATAAATATTAGATAGTCAGGGGTGAGCAAATTATGGCCCTCGGCTGGATTTGGCCCGTTAAAGTGTTTCATCCGGCCCACTTGTGTCCGTTTAAATTACGACTATAGTTTTTATGAATATAAATTTCCGTTGGAAGTATCGATGCAAATAACGTTATAATGACCCCGATCACACTGTGCACTAGGAATACACTTACCACCGCACCTCTGATTACTCTGCGTGGGTTCGGCTTTCTTCTCCTCCGGGATAAATATTTAAATCCCATCCTATCGGACAAATTGCTCTGAAATTTTTCGTGGCTGAAGATTGTATTTTTATCGTTATTTGTGTTGCGATGACGTCATCAAAATAAAAAATTAGACTCGTTGTGGCGGTTCCGCTTTCGACCCATGGATCGTTACATTGGAATCGTACTAATTTGTTTGGAGATTCTCTCACTATATCCGCCCTAGGTGCCCATCGATATGATGGGCGTGGCCATTTTTACGCATAAGTAAGTTTTTACTGGTTATTCCATAAACTGACAAAAATAAAAACGAACCCATAAATGATCGAATCAATATTTATTATCATGTTTGGTCATATACAGAAATCACATGGAGACAGCTATGAATTTTATTTTCTAAGCAAAAAGTTTCAATAGACAAGGCGACCAATTTAGGGCATTATAAGGTTAAAAGTGCTAAAGGGATAAATGGATAATATATGTAAGTAATAAAAAGTGAAAACTGTTTGTCTTTTATATCAGGGGTGTGCATCTGCGGCCCTCGAATCAAATGCTGTCCGCAAGTAAAAATTGTCCGGCCTGCGAAGAAATGCCAGTTTTGAAAGATGTGCTACCCGCAAAACGATTTTTTTAATCTGGTATGTGCAGTAATTCTAAATCATTTGCGTTGTAATACAAGAGTCCAATATATTATCTAAGCCTGACGTCA